CGAGGGAGAGTACTGTTATTTTATTATTTTTTATTTTAAATAGAAATTGTTTCTCAAGCGCCTGCAGGTTTGCATGTATTATATTTGATATATTAATATATTTTAATTAATTAATTTTAAATTGTTTAATAATAATTTAATTTTTAATTAATTTAAATTAATTAATTTATTATAAATTAAATTAATTAAGTTTGATTAAAATTAATGAATTAATCAATTACCTACTTATTTTTATCATAAGAATAAAAACAATATTTAAAAATTGTCCGTGATGTATAAACTCTTTCAGAAAAAGGAGGTTTCGGGACTACGTTCCTCACTGCCTCTCCCGAAGAAGTGTTAGAAAGTGCCAGTAAACTTAACCTTCCTCTATTATCGTGTCATTCACTTTGTGATTCATCTCAACCCCGCCCACTAGATACGAAGGCATTAATCTGTACGTACGTTCCCACTACGCCGGCCGTTAAGTATGACGGCACTCGCGTAATTGCTCTTAATTCAACGTAAATGACTGTCCAGACATTTAAGAATGCCATTCATACCCGCGTTCTCCAGGCTTTCAACGTTGTCGCTTGTGGAGAACACGTCGATTTCGTCGCGGAGCGATCGATCGCTCGCTTCGCATCGGCATCATTAACGATTCGAGAAAGGATTAGACGTGCGAAAAAGACTTACATCGCTTCTGTCTCTATTTCTTCCTTTCCTTCTTCAGATGTAATAATTGATGTAATGTAATTCGGCAGAGATGTAATAACGTCGTGACAGCAAGCGATATAAATTTCATTTGCGTTTTTATGCGCGACGATAAGCCTTCGAGGACGCTCTCGTTGATTGAAAATGCCAAACAGTTACGTACAGTTACGTAATGGATGTAATAAAAATTGCGACGCTGTAAGAAAAAAACGTGTAAAAATGTAAGATGTATTCAAATATAAGCCGTATGAATTTTTACACTTGTCGTGTAATTTCGTGAACAGCGCGTCTTTAATTCCAGTAGGGTGACGTAATCGTGTTTGCGTCCGATGCGTTTTGCCGTGAAGCTACTGTTCTCAGTTTGTCGTTTTCATCATTAGACAGACACCTATATCTGTTTACTCCGGTTTTCCTTGAGCTTCTCGCGCGCCCGAACGTCCGCGACCTGCCGCGTGTTACCTGTGACATTTGGTTCGTCAAAGAAAAACAGAAAAGCCGATATCGCTCGCTCGTGCAGCTGCAGATGCAACTGTCCGCCGCGTTATCGGAACTAATTAGTAAACATCGTTCGCGACGGATCGTCGTAAATTAGACAACGCGGTTAATCAGGCGTCACCCTTCGTTATGACGTTCTCTTTTAACGTTGAATCATGTTGGTGATGCTGCTCTTTGCGTGAGTTTAGGGAGAACGCGATTAATGCTCATTTACACAGAGTATTCGTTTTTGCTCATATATTTTTACTTCCTCTTTTTCATTAACATATAATTAATTATAACATGCAAGGAGATGCAGAAAACATTTTTTGATTTGATACCTTTAATTATAGATCTAGAAATAATTTTCTCCTTCTGCTACAAAAACTTAGCATGCATTTAAATTTTAAATTATCGGACACGTGCTACTGTATTTCGCATATTTCATTCTGCAATGTTGTAAAAATAGCATGCAGAATTATGCGGACACAGAGAATAAATATCGTGTGACTTATAATGAACATGCATATACACATTTTAGTTCTATAAATTGCATGATTTTTGTACCTATTATCCGTGTCATTTTACATTTACTTTTTCTACGGTGATATTAGATAATTTAGAGATAGATTATTTAATATATTTACCACTTTAGTGTAAATCTAACATTTCCAGACTTTGGATACTCCGCAAACCTTTTCAATGACATGAAGAAGTAAAGACAAATGATTGAATCCGTTTTTTATCGATCTTTGTTTCTTTATATCTAAATGTAAGACGTTTAAAGTCTGCTTGGCACTTGCTCCAAGTTTATCCTGTATGCGAGTTTCCGTGTCGACGTTACGCCAATGCCGCGGCGTGAGCGTCTACCTTCCCGTTAAGTCACCCTCCTGCGGGGCCCGGTGCGACGCCGTTGCCGGCGATGTGTATTTCGCGTGTGTGACATCATTCGCGTGATGTAATCGTCGCGGCGAGCGAGGCGGTCGCGTATCCCACGCGGAGACGAGCGCGGCAACGCTATCTATTAAATGAACGCACGTATACTTAGAGACATGTACTCCGCGGGCGTTAACAGAACGTTGCCATCGTCTTGATATCCGGCGACTCCGATAGCAAACTCGGCGATTAGAGCGTTGTAATTAGCTGGCGAGAGAGACTGCATGATTTCAGAAACGCGAGCATGCGAGTAATAAAAGTGGAAAGAAAAGAGAGATGAATTTTTGCTAGGAACGACGATTGCGATACAATACATTCTTTACAAACTTTTTTTATACCATGTTGAGCGCATAGAATTTTAAATTAGTGTCTCACAATAAACAATACGATTAGAAAGGAGCTGATTCTCGATATGTAAATATAGAAGTAACATAGATTACTCGGTTATCGCGGGACACCCTGTATATAACGCGACCTGTGGGTGTCGATTTAAGGAAATATATGACTTATTAAATGCTCTAACAATAGACCTGACGCGGAGAATCAGATTTACTACGATTAATCCATATAGTACAGGCACTCAAGTTTATTTATTGCAGCGCTTCTCAAAACCGACTTATCAGTATTTACCTTCAGATACCAAAGATACAAACTTTTATGATGTGAAAAACAAATATCTATATACGTTGTACGTTGCACGGTCGAGCTGTAACGCCGAGTGTTGAAGAAAAGCAACGTGTATTATACGAGAGGTGTCTCAGACCAGCGAAGCGTATTGGAAGAAAAAGAAGATAAATGAAAGACCTACATTACGCGTGGGCGTATGCGCAACCGTGCACTATTATCGATAAAATAGTGTTGCGTAACATTAATCACTCTCGAAGTCCCTACTATTTACCCAATTATTAATCGTTAGACCCGCCGTGCAAGAAGATAAGATTACTCTGCAATTCTTATCTGTACGAAGATTGACTTGACGTGACAGCGCGCTGACTAGCTTGCCAAGACACGTACCGTGCATCGCGTTGTTTGCCATTACACCGCGTGGGCAGCAAAAGGAAGAAATTCTCATGATTATTACCACGTCCCCGTTTGCATTTTATGCGTGGTTTGCGCTTCCTAGGCGTGCAGGTCGTAGATATTCTCAGCGCTTAATATTCTTTACATCTAAAGTATAAGAATATGCATAAAGAATTGCGGAAAATATATTTCAGCATTTGGAACAAGGGTTTGGGAAACGTGGTACCGCATACGAAACAAATGGAGACGTGATTTTATAAAGATTTATAAATATTATATGGAGGGATAAAAGCTACAGTGATGTAAGTCAAATTTTTTAAGATATTGGCTTACACCACTATGACTTTTACCCCTCCATATATTTAAAAATAAATTTATAAAATATATTTTTTATTTACGTATTATGATGAAAAAAGAGGAAAAATATATAAATTGTTTTTACAAGTTTCTCGCGTTAATGAATTTATGGTAATCTTTTTCAGGTGCACCCTTTTTAAGGGTTCGGCAGAAGTGAGCTGTTGGTCTGATTGACAAAATGACGACCGACATCTCGGTGGTGCGCGGGGGTTGGGACCCCACGCTACAACAAGAGATTGTCGACGAGTACGAATACGACGGGGGAAACTCGAGTTCGAGACTCTTCGAACGCTCACGTATCAAGGCACTAGCTGGTACGAAACTGTCGATTTTCTTCTTCAATTGCTTCATTCATGTATACTTTATCACAATTCTCTTTCATGTCTTTTACAATTATCATTCTTTTTTGCAAAAGACGATAGTGCGATTTGTTTTCATTGATTCTATAATGAGTGCATTAAAGCTCGGCTTCGTCATAACATTCTGTAATAATG